TGACTCCCCAGAGAAGATGTGCCCACACACAGCCTCCCCTGGCCGCTCAAGTTCCGCATCGGCCATGAGACCAGCCTGGCCGTGAACTTCCTGTACAGTATTGAACCTCCTCTGCTCCGCCTGGACCTCAAGCCAGGCAACACCTTCCTGCATGCCAAGGTCAGGGTCCCGGGCAGCCTCCTGGCCCCCCTTTTCTCTCTCTCCAGTGCCTCCGGGTAGGCAGGATCATCCGCCTGCCTGACTGGCCTGCGAAGAGTCTGAGGTGCTCCTGTCGTGGGAAAGCACTGCAGGCCGGGCCGTGTGCTTGCGGAGCTGGGACCTGCCCCCTGCAGGAAGCCTTTTGGCTCTTATCTTCCATTTCAAATTGGGGGGGTCAATCCATGCTCCTCACATTCTTTACTTTCGGTGGGATCATATGAAGATGAAATGATTCCTAGGAGAGGCCCCAGTGGCCCTCAGCTCCTCAAACTCCATCTTCCCTTCTGCCCAGGACCTCTGCATGTCTGTTCCCGCTGCCGGGGGCAGTACTTTCCAGCTCCCCTCTTCTTCCAGCCGGGGCCTGCTCACCCTTCAGCTCTCGGCTTAAACGTCACCTCCCCAGGGAGGCTCTCCCTGGTCTACCCCAGCAGGCCCTGTACCTGTGCCCACCATCGCTGTGCCCACCATCACTGTGCCTGTGTCTGCACATTGTAACCCCAACTGCAAGTGTGCGGTCATCTGTGCAGCTGTTTCATCAGTGACTCTGCCGCTCTTTGAATGAGCCTTGAGGAGGACAGTAGCCTCAGGAGCCTTGTCTTTCTTATCTGCCACCTGATCCTCCGGACCCAGCCTGATGGGCACTCAGGGGTCACTCAGTTGGCATAGGAATGACTCAGGAACAGAGGCAAAGTGTGATAGGTACAGGTGTGTGAGTGCCCCAGGGCCATGGGGCCCGGATGACCCCCACCTGTGTTCAGAGCCTCTGCCGGACTTGCCACGTGCCAGGTACCTGTCCCAGGCTTTCTGCACATTTCTCCAGGTAATGCGCATAACCGCACTGTGAGTTAAATGCTCACATCATTTCCGTTCTACAGATGAGGAAACTGAAGCTCTGATAAGGTGAGTAACCTGTCCAAGGTCGTCCTGCTTGTGTATAGTAGAGCTGGGAGAGCCATGCACTCAGCCACTGCATTCTACAGGGTGGGTGGACAGCAGCGGGTGAGAAACCTGGGCAGTTTGCTGGAGGCAAGATTGCTCTGCACCACCTCTGACTTCCTCTGAGATTTCAGGCTTCGGCCTGTCCAGGTGGATGGAACGGTCAGCCCGGACGCAGTACCCTGAGAGGTCGGCTCTGCAGGTGCCCTAGGCTGCACCCCTCCTGAGATGGTCCTGGAGAATATCGAGGCCCCCGGCCCAAGTACAGTGCACACAGGTGAGGGGATGGGCTCTGCGCTGCCTTTCCTGGCAGCAGGTTGTGCCCACCCTGCCTGGACCCCGCAGCCCAAAGGGCAGGGTGGCAGGGCTGGGATTAGGCCCTCGCAGCCCACAAGGAGGAGGGTTGCAGCTGGAGAGGCTTTTCCTGGACTGAGTGGCCCGCGAGGCCCCTGACTGGGGTGACCAGATCTGAGAAGTCCATGCCCACTCTCCTCGTGGGCAGCCTCGGACGGCCATCTGGGAGCCTCTCACTCAGAAGACACTACCTTCAGGTTGTAGGCGGCGGCAGCACCTTTGGGTGGGGCCTGGGAGGGGCAGGACACAGGGCAGCTTTGTGTTGGGGAACTGTCTTCTCCCCAGGGGATCCCATCTGCACCCCCTTCCTTCCTGCCCCTAGTTCCCAGAGCTCACCCAGCAGCAGAAGGAGAGACAGGTGTGAGCCCACATCGTGTTCTCTGACTGTAAGTCCTGTGCCCCCTAAGTGCTTTTCCTGCCTCTCAGGTCCCTACCCCTGCTGCCCACATGCCAGGTAAATAGACTGTCAGGAAACTTGGACTTTCCAACGAAACTGAAAGTCAGCGTCTTCTGACCGCTGGTCAGTCCTGCTGCCGTTGGAGAGCAAAGGCCTTTAGTGTGGGCGCATCAGTCTGCGCCTGGGAGGCAGCCAGAGCTGGGCCAGGCTCCACTGTTCAAATGGGCCCCACAGGTCAGCCTGCAGTCTGCTTCTCGGGTCCACCCCACCCCAAGATCCAGAGCCAGGGGCAGCTGGTTGGCAGGACAGGACCCTCAGGAGGCCCAGGCTCTGGCCCCTGCTACCAAATCATCACTCAGAGCTGGTGCCCCAGCACATACTCATATGCCCGGGCAGCCCAGGGGCTGTCTGCCATTCCAGGCTCCCCATGGGTGGCACCCTAAAAGTCTGGTCCCCAAATTGTTTCCCTTTCTCTCCCTCCCTTCTTTTTTTTTAAATCTTCTGACCACACTAGCCTCCTCCAACTTTTCTCAGGGCTGGTCAGGAAACAGGTGGAGCAGACAACATAAGATGCAGGTTTGCAGACCTAGGCCCAAAGGGCAGCCCTGCCACCTTGGGGAGCCACCCTCCCCGTGTGAGAGGCTTCTCCTCTGAAATGGAGGTTGTGTGGACCGACCCCCGGGGTGACAAGCAGGTCAGGAGATAATGTGGGGCGAGGTCCACCACGACCCCTGCACAGGAGGGGAGCTGGAGCCACAGAGAGCCTGGGCCCTGGGCCTGGGGGGACGGGGAGGCAGTGGGCAGCCCCTGGGCAGGGGCGGTGTGTGGAGGATCCCAGTAGGTGGGCATGTCGGAAATGCCCCAAGGCAGGCCAGTCCTCAGTGAGCTGGCAGTGGGCAGCTGCCTGCCTCTGTCCTGAGACTGGCAGGGAGGCAGGACCCCAGGTGCCTCTGTTGGGGCTGTCCACATTCAGGAAGCCCTCTTGCCCACCCCTCCATCCCTACTTGTCTCAGGGCAGCACGCCGGACCGCTGTGCCCCACGTGTCCACCACCATCTGGGTGAGTGGAGCCCTGGAGCTGGGTGGTGGTCCCCACGGCTGCCAGGGCTCTGCCACGTGGCTTGGAGCGCTGAGTTACCGTGTGGTTGCTGGATTAAGGCCCGTTGGACCGTGAACTCCAAGAAGGCAGGGACCCTGGGCACCGTCACTGCTGCACTCCTAACACCTTGCTCAGGGCCCAGTGCATAACTGTTGCTCAATAACTGTCCACTGAGCAGGTCAAGGCTGGGTGGGTGGGTCGAGGAAGTTGCACAGCCCCATTCTACTCACCTCGGTTCCCAGGACATGGCCCCTGCCCGTGGCCTCCAGAACCCACCGGGGGAGGAGTTAAGGGCCTGAAGCTTTGAAGACCTGTGGTCCCAGGTGGACATCTGAGGGGCTGACGCAGATGCCCCGCAGGCCTGACTGGGATGGGACAGACCCAGGCGTGCCCTTGCAGTGCCCTTTGGAGGCAGCCGGGCCAGGACTCACCTGCTGTAAAGGCAGATGAGTGATCCTTTGATTAAAAGGTATTCCGCAGAGACAGGCAGAGAGGAGAGGAGATGGGGGCCACAGCCAGGCCTCCTGGGAGAGAGCAGAGCCTGGGCCGCCCCTGCCCTCTCTGCGTTCCTGGGTCCCACACCCATCTCTTGGCCCCGGTGTACCCAGGGGGTTGGAGCCCAGCCCTCCCCCTGCCCACTCTGCTGTCAATCTGCCGTCTGGCAGAAGACTTGACACTTGGTGACAGCTGTGGCAGCTTCCCCCTGCCCCGCCCCCCGCCCCTGTCTGCCCTCTTCCCCTCTCTGCCTGTCAGCTCTTCCCAGCCTGCTGTGGGGTTGGCTGCCCTCCCCAACCCCTATCTCCCTCCCCACTCCTTTGTCATCTCTTTCAATTCCCACCGCTGATCAGCCTGTGTGACCTCACGAGATCGATAGCTTCTGGGCGCCCATGCAGGTCAAGATCTTTCCTAGGCTGAGTGTGTGCGTGTGCGCGCAGGTGGGTGGTCTGGCTAGAGGGTGGGTGTCAGCAGCTGAGAGACCTGGGGTTTCCAGCCCCTCGGGGGTCTGATGCATTCTCCAGGAGATGGGCACTGGGTTCCTGACACCCCCAGCCTGCTCTCCCACCTTCAGGAATCCAGGTGCCCCTGGGGACAGGAGCCTCGCCCAGGGCTTAGCACACATGCAGATTCAGATCAAAGTCCATAATTAAGTGTTCAGGGCAAGTTAAGTGCTCCAAACTTGGGTGCTAAAAATACTGTATTTAGCATGCAAATTATGCCCTGACAGCTCTGAGCCTGGGCCTGTGGGCGCCCCTCCTTGTTTGTCATCACCGCTGTTATGCTCAGCGTGCTGAGAGTATTTCTCCCTCACTGAGGTGATTTATATTTAATTTTTCAAAAGCCAAGTTTCTGCTGTGGGGCAGTGCCAAGTTGTGGCCCAGAAGGCTTGGAGCTGTGACAATTTGGAGGCAGAGAGGAGGAAGGACCCCCCAGGAGTCACGACTGAGGGCCTCCCTGCCTCCCCAGCCAGCCCCAGAGGAAGGGGGGTCCCGGTGCAAGACAGCAGGTGAAGGGCAGACACAGGCGCCAGGCCAGAGGCCTGCACACAGACCGCCCTGCCCCGCCGAGGTCGGAGGCTCAGGTCTTGCCAACCAGCAGGGCCCAGGAGGGAGCAGGTGGGAGCGGGGACAGCCTGGCTTCTGTCTGAGGACCCTGCTGCTCTGGCTGTTAGGGGCGCCCTGGCTGAGGGAAATGCCCACCCCTCCTGTCCTGGTTGGCAGTTGAGGTCACAGCCACCCAACAGCAGGGCAAAAAACAGTCCTGCCCCCTTGGGACACGATGAGGATGAGGGGAAGCCCGGGCACGTGCGTGTTCTGGGTCCTCCTGGACAGCTCCTTGCTCCCTTCCCCAGAGTCCTGCCCACCTGAGGGTCAGCGCTGCCCCCTCCCAGGCACGTCTGCCAAGGGTCTGCCCCATGATTGCAGCACACGCTCCACGGCCTTGTCTACACCTGACACAGAGGACGAAGGTGGCACTGTGCCCTTCCACCCCAGGGGGCCTCACAGGCGACTCTCATCAAAGTTTTATTAGTTCGGAGCGTGTATGGTGCTGTTACAGAGTCGGGGGCCCATGGCTCCCCCAGGATGCAGCTCCCCTCCTCCCCCAGGCAGGCCAGACCAGGCCGAAGGGTACTGGGCAGCCTCTTGGCCCACGAAGGCTGAGGCAGCAGATGGCAGAGGAAATGGGTGAGAAGAGGCCAAAGGACGAGAAAAGAAAAGTGGTTTTGCAGCGGACTGGGGCGGAAGGCAGCCCCCCAAAGAGCCTCAGACACCCCAGTGCAGGCCCCAGAAGGGCACAAGCCCGCTTCCCTGCTGGCCCTGCGCTGGCCCAACATGTGCTACAAGAAGGGATGCACCTGCATCGGTCAGGAGGCCGCAGAGTGGGCTTGTGGGGGCTCTGCTGCCCACAGACCTTCCTGGGGCCCTCGGAGGCTCGGGGTGGGGGGGAGCGGTCAGGACATACAGCTGTGCAAGGAGAGGCTCCCGTGCATCTGTCCATCCAGGAGAGGGAGCTGAGGTTTTGGCTTGGGCCTCCCTGGGCTTGTCCTGCACTCCGTATTCCTGACGCCCCGGCAAGCGCTCCCCTGGTTAGGCCGAGTGCAGTGTGAACTGCCCGTCCGTCCCTCCCCACCGCGCACTGCGGCACAGGTTTGGGAAGACGGCACTGCCACTGAGCCCTGCCTCCACCCTGGCAACCCCAGGGCCTCAGAGGAGTGTCAGAGGAGGGGGCTGTGTCTTTGGTGCCAAGGAGAGAGGGCCTCGGGAGGGGAGGGGCCTCTGTGGGCTGCCCCTGGGCCCAGGGGCCAGCACGAGGGTGGCACTGTCCCTGGCTCCCTAGCACAGCCCAGTAGAGCGAGGCTGTGTGGGCAGTGAGGGGCATGGTGCCAAGCTGACACTGCAGGGCCAGTCTGGCCTGCACCCCCGGGCCCTGGCTCCCAGGGATCGAGGCCGGGCGGCCTGGGCAGGAGGTGGGGAGCAGGCTGCTGTGCACATGGGCGGCAGGGTCAGCAGTGAAGGATCTTCAGGAAGGCCTTGCGGAACTCAATGTTGAAGGTGGTGTAGATAATGGGGTTCACGGCGCTGTTGACATAGCCCAGCCACGTGAAGGCGCTGTACAGGACGGGCGGGATGTTGCAGTCACAGTGAATGTTCAGGATGTGGGTGACGAAGAAGGGCAGCCAGCAGATAATGAACACGCCTGGGGGAGAGGGTGGCGTCAGGGCAGCCCCCAGCACCGGGAGAGGCGGGGCTGGGAGGCCTGCACTCGTGGGCTGCCAGGTCGTGTGACCGCCCAGCCCCGGGCCCAGCCGTGGGTGTCAGCAAGGAGCCGCGACCGGGCTGCTCTGAGGCAGGGCACAAGCCCCCCAGCCTCACCTCCTCATCTGCCCAACAGTGCCTCTCAGGCAGGGCAGCGGGCCTGAGAAAACGCCAAGAGTTCACCATTCTGATGCCGGCCAGCAAGCAGAGAGGGAGATTTTTCCACCCTACCTACTGGTCAAAGTTGGGAGCGACTCTTCCTCGGCAGCTGGGGTGGAGGGTCTGCTGGCTGCGCAGTGGGACACACAGCTTGGACCAGAGGCAAAGAGGAGGCAGAAAGCCACCCTGCCTAGTCCCCTCGGTGTCCCCACAAGGGACACAGGGCGCGACACAGAGGCTCAGAACAGCTCTGAGGTGCGCAAGGCCACTCTGCTCTTGAGAGGCGAAGCTGAGGCCTGGCTCCAGCCTACAGAGGTCCCTGAGGGTCCGTCTCTTCCTACCCCGTCTCCCTACTTGCTCCGCACCTGGGGGGCCCCTCTCGCTCATCCCTGCCTCGGGACATGTGCCCACCTGCCCGCTCAGCCTCACGCGGGACCTCTTGCTCAGGTGGGACCCTGGGTGTGGGGGCGTCAGGTGCGCAGACCCTGGGAGGCCCTGGTGCCCGGCAAGGGCAGCCCTCAAGAGCCGAGAGCGCGTGGAGGCTGTGGCTGCGAGCTTGGCCCCAACCCCACCGCCACCCCCGGCCCTGGCCACAGGATCAGGGGCGGTCCCTCAGGCTGCTGTGACCATGTGCCCTCGTTGGTAGGACAGGGTGGTCACACTGGGCCCAGCCATGTCACAGGGTTGTCAGGAGGCCAAAGGGGACAGTGGGTGTGGAAGGGTGTCACCCTACCCTGGGTGCTGCATGGAAGGTGGGGTTGTGTCAGCCCCTCTTGTCCCCACCCAGTCCTGTCAGAGCAGCCTTTGATTTCTGACTTTCATATCTGGTTCTTAAGAGACTAGTTTTTAGGAGAGCCAGGCCATCATCTATGGGGGGTGGGGCAGAGGGCTTGCAGCCCCTCGTGTCGTTCACAGCTCTGGCCCCCCAAGCCTGGGCAGAGTGCAGCTGAGAGAGTGGCAGAACTACCAGGTTAGCACAGTGGGCACAGCCTTGCAGTTCATGAGGTGGCCTCCTGCCTGTCGTTTCACCCTGAGAGGCACCCTGCTCTCCCCAGGAGGAAACTAGAGAGCCAAGGTGGCTCACCCGGATCATGACGCTCTGGGTCATTACAGGGGCCTGGCTCTGTTCACAGACTCTGAGTTTACATTGTAGGTAAGCTCAGCAGACCTCAGTTTCCCCATCTGTAAAATGCACATAGTCACAGAGCCCACCTAAGAGGGCACGTTGCCGGGTGAGGCCACGCCTGAGGGAGTGCCGGTCCGGTGGCCCACCGGCTGTGGGTGGGGGACACGGCGATGGTCCTTTCCTCAGCCACGATCGGACGGGCCGCCGACTCACCCAGAACGATGGCGAGCATCTGGGTGGCTTTCTTCTCCTTCTGCTGCGAGAGCTTCCGGCGGCTAATGGTCTTAAGTGAGGTCCGGGTCTTGCCATTGGGCATGGACTGGATCTCAAAGAACTTGGCAATCCTGGGGTGCTCCCTGGCATGCCCGTTCTTCTCTGGTTTGGCGGGGCTGTCGGGAATGCTGTGGGGGCCCTGGTGGGACAGGTCGGGGAGGGTCAGCTGGTGGTGGCTGGGCGGGATGGGGCTGTACCGGGTCCTCTCGGGCGGGCTGGTGCTCGAGAGCATCTCCATCTCCAGCTCCTGGGCTCGGCGGGCAGCGTCCTGCAGAGGCAGAGCTCTGGGTAAAGCCAGGCCAGACTTCAGGCATCAGCCTCTCAGCCTCACCTGGCCTTGCCTGGCCTCGCCTGGCCTCACCTGGCCCCACCTGGCCCTGCCTGACCATTCCCTGTCCCCCCACGGAGAATCTGCAGACACCACAGTTCACTCTGCCAGAGAGGCAAGGAGGAAAATCACCGGAAGGCAGGGGCTGCCTGGGAGCAGACCCAGGACCCACAGCAGATCCCGCCTGCAGGGTGGAGCCCTAGCCCTTCCGGAGCAACCCTTATGCAGCCTCACAGCCCCACAACCACCTGGGGGGGCTCACGACCAGTGACTCTGGGACTTAAGAGCACCGGCCAAACACCAGGCACCCAACTGGTGCTGGGGTGACGGCTGATGGACACACAGGGCCTGCCCTGGGGCGCTCCTGGCCTCCCTGCACAGAGAGCAGCCCTGTTCTCCCTGCCAGCCTGGAACGCGGCACCTGCACAGTGCCCACCCTGGGGGCCTGTGTTCTCCTGATGGACTGGCCCAGAGGCCCCACGGCTTCCTGCTGGGCTGGC